TCCCCCATCACTGAAATCATTCCCTGTGTGCTAGTGTGTGTGTGTGTACGTGTGTGTGTAAGTGTGTGTGTGTGTGTGTGTGTGTGTGTGTTATGAGAGGAGGCCATTCAATTTCCTGGGAAAAGCGATGTGAAAGTTGGCAATAATATATCCACGCGCTCAAAGCCCAAAGCTTCTGACCATCCTCCTCCTCCTCCCTGTGAGTCAGAGGGATGAAGAGCGGCGGCCCCTCTGACGTCCAGCTCTGTCCACTGCCGCTCGGGTGGAGGTGTGAGGCCGGGCCCCCGGAGAGCGGGAGGACCCGGGGGAGCCGGGGTCCGCGCTCCCATTTGCGAAGTTTATCTGCCATCTGTGGGAGTCCGGCTTCGGATTCTGACAGGTTGGAAATGCACTTCTGGCTCAGCAGTGTGGTTCCACGCTCAGTTCGGTTTTCTGTTGACAAGATCCCCAAAGCCCGAACACACACACACACACACACACACACACACACACACACGCACACGCACGCAGTCTCCAGCTAATTTAGTGCTATTAGTGGTCAATTAAAGCGCTGTGACTTCACTGGCTGTCTGAGTCTTTGATGTTGTGGCTCCTGGCAAGACCAGACGCCATCTTGAATTCATTAACGGGCCGCAGCGTAAACACGCCACACAACCGGAGCCTTGACTTCTTCTTTCTGAGCCTCTTTACTCTCTTTGCTTGTGGAGCGTTTGTTTGTTTTTCTTCCTCTGCCGTTCCAGTTCCTTATTTTTTGTGCAGCTTGTGGAATAACATCCTTTCCTCCCAACGCGTCTCCTTTTCCTTCTCCCTTTTCTTCTTCTTCTTCTCTAATTTGCGCGTCATTCTTCAGCCCTTTCTTCCTCTCCCCGGTCGTCTGTGTTCGTTTTTGTCTCCGTTCTCCCTTTCCTCCTTTGCCCCTGAGCCTCGTTGCTCATTCACAAATTGTTCAGGCGACCCAGAATCGGAGAGGCCGTCGTGACTGGAAGTGACTAACATCCTCTCTGCCCGGGCTGATTCAGCTGTTCCACTCACCCGCTGAGAGGCTCGGGCTGAGGTCAACAACAGCTCCTCACAAATCAGTCGGATGCGCTTTCTGCTGCTAGTAAATAAAAGATACAGTGGAGAGACATGAGTTTTTATTCATCTACGTCAGCTGATGCAAGGTGGAAGGTGCCGCAGATGTGTGTGCGTCTGTGTGTGTGTGTGTGTGTGTGTGTGTGTGAGTGAAGGTTTTCTCAGGCCAGTCGATCCGTTTCTTGTCTGCACTCGCACGCCTCCTCTTCTCTGCTTACACACACTCTTTTCATGCTTTTTTTTTTCCCTCAATGCAGAAAAACTCCCAGCCACTCACACTCACTCATGTGTCACGACTTTCTCTCTCTGTCCGGCCCCCTAGTGTTTTCCGTCTGAGTTACTCGACCCCCCTTCAGTCACAGGTGCACCGCGCTAGAACAGACACGCACACACACTCACACACACACACACGCTGGGTCCACTTGTCTTCACATAGGGGGCTCTAATCAAGCCACAGGAAGCCTGAGCTCCACAGGGAGCGCCTGAGATCGGGTGTGTGTGTAAGTGTGTGTGAGTGTGTGTGTGTGCGTGTGTTTTAGTAAGTAAGTTGAGGAATGTGTCGGCCCATGAAACTCACGGTGAGTGTGTGGAGGAGGCTCTGCATGTTTTCAATTACACCCGAGTGTTTTTGCAGATGTGTGTTTGCTCTCTCTTTGTGCGATGCGTCTTCCTATCGCTCTTCTGTGTCTCTGCTTCTCCTTAATGGCTTCTCCTCTCCTCCGTTTAAGAGTTTTTACACACCCAGCTTGATTTGGGCATTTTTTGCCATGCCGGGCCTCATGATGATTTCACTCCATCCCTCATTTCTGTTTCTAATGTGGCTCAAATCTTCATTCTCTAAAATCTTCCTCCATCTTTCCTCTCCTCTGTCTTCCCCTACTCTCACTTCTTCTTTCTCTCCCTCCCCTGTTCCTTCCCTCCACGCTGCATCATATGGAGTCGGTTAGGCAGCCGTGCTCAAACGTGTGTGTGTGTGTGCGTGTGTGTGCATCTGGTTCGCATTAGTGCAATTGCAGGTTGGTAGAATAAAGAGCTGTGCTCGGAGGTGGTGGGTGGGATTTCCTTCCGCTTTCTCACACACACACACACACGCACACACACCTCCATGTGTTTTGAATCAGTAACGTAATTAACCTTCAGAGGATTCAGAGGCCGTGCCTCAGATCTCCGCTATAAAAATACATCTAAAAAACAGACCCCCGCCTCCTCCAAAGCAAAGCAACAAAAAAAAAAAAGTTTGATTTGTCTGCGGTGCGTTTGATTCGCGTTCCCACGTCTGCCTCCGACGGGCTGCGGGCGCTCAGCGAAAAAAGGGGGGGGGGGGGGGGGGGGGGGTGGGGGGGGGGGTGGGAAGAGGCGTGGGCCTCCGCTGGGCTATCGGCCGGCCGTGCACGGTCCACTCCGGGAGGCGTGTCACAGGAAGGCTCCCACACCGGGAATGTGGAGCCTGCTCCATAGGTATGAGAGGAGAGAGAGGGGATGAAAAAGGAGAGGCACAGGTGCAGCAGGCTGTGTGTGTGAGAGAGAGAGAGAGTAAGGAGGAATGTGTGTAACTGAGAAATGTGTGGTGTGTGTGTGTGTGTGTCTGTGTGTGTGTCTGTTGAGAGGTTTCGTGACTGCTCCTTTGAATGTTCACATTCCAGCACATCTGCTTTGGATGAAGCATGGTAAACTGTGTGTGTGTGTGAGAGAGAAAGAGAGAGAGAGAGAGAGGGAGGGAGGGAATGAGAGAGGGGGAGACAGGGAGAGAGGATTCTGGAAATGGAGGGAAAAGAGAAGCAGAGGAGTGCGTATATGGCCCGACCCCGGGTAGGATCCCGGCCCTGGCCTGGAGCCCGGATCCTGGCCCCGGCCTGAAACCCGGATCCCGGTCCCACCGGCTGGCCAGGACGGGTCCCGCCAATCGGAGCGTCCACACTTCGGAAAACAGAAGCCAAACAGGCAGATGCAGGTGGATCCTGCGGTGGAGACCTGCTCGGTTTTGTCCCCCCCCCCCCACAAACCCCCCCAACAGTGCAGCAGCCCCATCCACGCACATCCACTTCCAGCCCCTTTACATGCACTTCTGCCAGAAGGAGCTTCTGGACATCGTTTTACTCTCTTTGCTGTCTTGTTTTCCTTTTGAAATGATCTAGGACCATTTCAAAATAGAAAACTATGCTTGTTCTATGTGATAAGAAGCAGGGTTTAAAACCGAGTTACAAATAGATTCCAGCCTATTTTTGCACTTTCTCCCAATACGTTTACACAAATGTATATAAATGTGTCAACAGTCCTTTATTAGACTCATTGCTGATTTTGGAATGATTTAACAGCATAACATTCTCAGTGTTTTAGGAAGGGAGGTTTTTGGTTGAGTTGGCACATGAAAATCCAGCGTGTTCCAGTTTGGAGGTCCGGCTGTGGGCTGGACGGGTCCTGCCTTTCAGATCACAGTAAAAGGAGAAAGAGATGTGGCATCCACACCGTCAGGGCTTCATGTTGTGCTCCTCCTAAAGCTGCAGCACACAACGTGTCTTCTTCCTGCTCTCTCCTCCTCCCTCACATCCCTCCATCCTTTCTCTCTCCACTGGGAGCAGAAGTGGAGGCAGCGAGGGAGAACAGATGCTCCCCACATTTACAGACAATAACGGGGAGAGGACGCTCCAAACCCCCCCCCCCCCCCCCGCCCCTCGGCCCTCTGCATTTTTCCCTCTTTTGTTTCCGTTTGCTGTCTTTTTATCCGCATCCAGCTTGTAGCGTTTCATTCGTTTGTTTCGACTATTTTTTTTTTTTCGTTCCCCGCTCCCTTTCGAGCAAAACCCTGGAGGGGCTCTGCCAGTTTCTCTGCCTCTGGCGACTTCCCCGCTCAGGAAAGTTTCCCTCACAGCTCCTCAGTCGTGAGGAGGAAGGCATCCTTTTGGGTTCAGGCTGATTTATGCAGCTTTACTTAAACATGCTTGGACTTTGTGAGGTTACTTCTCCCTTCCTCTGTCTTTTGGGGTGAAGTGCTGCCTATTCTTCTAGTTTTTCCTTTTCTTTTGTGTGTTTTTTTACTGTTGATCAGAACCAATAAGCAATGGGAAGTCGTCACCTCTGGTTGTTGTTAGCTCTAACTGGTCCTGACTACTTTTCTTAGAGCTGTGCTATAATTCCAGCTGCTCTGACATTCATTCACCCCGTCTGTCTCTGGGGTTGAACTAAGTCATCAGTACAGTGAGCGCCGGAGTCTTTGAACCTCCAGGTCAGGTCAGTGCTGCACAGCTGGCTGCTCTCAACTTATTGTGTGTGTGTTTAGAGCTCCATGATGAACCAGTTTTGAAAGGAATGTAGCTTTTTTTTTTTTTTGCCCGTTGCTGCTCAGAGCGAAGTGGAACCAGGCTTTGCTTGGATCCATGGCGTTTTGTGGAGATCCTCTGAACCGGTGTGGCGTTTGGGCTGGAATGCGGCCCTGCCCGGGTCTGCACGGGCCTCCTCCAGGAGTGACCGGCCAGTTCAGCGGCCATTTTGGAACAGGGCGGCGTCCTGGGCGTGTCCAACCCCTTCGCCTGATGTCAGATTAAGATGAGTTAGGTGTAGACATGTGGGGGGCCAGCATAGAAACAGAGGGAGTGTGAGTGGGGTGTTCTTATTTTGACAGAAGGAGTTCTGTGGCTTCCACTGGTTGACATTCACCTTTGTGTGATGTCCAGCATGTCTCAGATATGAACACTCAATAGGTTAACATTTGTTGTTTTCTTTATCGGTGTTAGAGCAAATCAAATGGCTTGTGGGTCTTTTAGGGTAATGTCATTACACACCACGAGGAGCCGGGATTGTTTTAATGTATTTACTTGTTAATTTACTTTTTCTCCTTTTCCTTAGTCTGTAAACGCCTCATGCTCCTATCACCTGGTGGATTTAAATAAATATCTCCATCGATGGAGGGAAAAGGCCCAGTTCATAGTTTCATTGAAGCGAGAAGTAAATAGTTCCGATAATTGCAGTTTAAAAAAAAAAAAATTACAATATGTAAGAAATAATGACATAATATCAGGATATTGTAGTCAGACAGGGTAATGTCCAGTTCAACTTTTTTTATTTTTGTTGTCAACAATTGTCCTTCAAGCAGTCTGAGAATCCCACTCTGTTTCCTGAGTGTCACATATGAAGAAGTAGCATTTTGGGGGGGAGAAACTTTTTTTAAAGTTGCTTAAACAAAAGCTTCAGTGGTGTGTGTGCTGAAGTCGGCAATATTTCTGTGGTTTGTGGTCTGTCTGTTTGGCTTTAAGTGACTCTCAATTGCTGTGAGCTGACTGTGGGAATGTGTGTGTGTGTGTGTTTGGGGGGGGTGGATGTCTGTGTGTGTGTGTGCCTGCAGGAAGTAAGGTTGTTATTGTGTCTCTCGGCATTCTTCAGATTGAACACACTCTGCACCTGTCTCTGTCTGTCTGCAACACTCACTCACTCACTCAAACACACACACACACACACACTCTCTGGCCCAAATCTCCGCCTGTCATCAGCCACACATTCAGTGGGAAAATATGCCTGTAATGCTTGAGGCGTAACACTCTTCAGCAGGATCAACACGAGCTCAGGGGCGTGCGTGCGCGGCCGTGCACGAGTGTGTGTGGATCTGCAGGCTTTGGGTCGATAAATGTGGTTTTATGATCAGAGCACAAATTCAGTTCTCAAAGGGGAAGAAGAGGAGAGGAGGAGGTGGAGGAAGTTAAATGGGGTTTAGTTCAGTCCTAATGACTTCTGCAGACCCTGTTTATCAATGTGTGTGTGTGTGTGTGTGTGAGAGAGAAAACACAGGGATTTGGATGGCTTCTCAACTGCAAGGTGCATTGTGGGACGGTAACCTCTCCCAGATGATCAGCTTGTCCTAGAAACATTTGTGTATTCAGGTTTTGGTTCTTGGGACGTTTTGTGTGCGTGTGTGTGTGTGTGTGTGTGTGTGTGTGTGTGTGTGTGTGTGTGTG